GGCAGCTCCTGCCCAGTGGTATTTAACTTGCGCCTGACTAATTCTTCACACGGATCGCTGATGGTTGGCACTGGCTTTGTGGAAAATGCTGGCTCCGCGGCCCCTGCCTGCTCTGAGATCCTGCGGCCAGCTGCCCACACGGACTTGGCCACTGCTGCCCACTTGGACTTGACCACTGCTGCCTGCTCGGACATGCCCTCTGCTGTCCACTCACGCTTGGCCACTGCTGCCTGCCCGGGCTTGACCACTGCTGCTCTGCCTGGACTTGGCCACTGCTGCCCACTTGGACTTGGCCATCGCTGTCCACTCGGACCTGCCCACTGCTGCCTGCCCGGGCTTGATCACTGCTGCCTGCTCAGACTTGACCACTGCTGCCCGCCCGGACTTGACCGCACTGCTGCCTGCCTAGGCTTGACCACTGCTGCCCACTTGGACCTGCCCGCTGTTGCCCATACCATGCCCTCCACATATTGTGTCCAGATGGACCAGACCCGGGCAGCTACTTTGTCCCAGTGGATGAGCTTGATTCTAGGTCCAGCCAACTCAGGAAGTTAGAATGGAGAGAAAGATACAGGCACTAACCTTTCTGGGCCCTTCCTAAGTGACAGACACCGATAAGTGTTTTACATAAACTATCTCATTTCCCCTCACATTTCAGTCATTCATATGCCACTTTCATGATTCCTGCCATATCCCTACCATTCATTTATTGAGCATTTTCTTTAAATTGAATTGCCTTTTAAAAAGCAGAGAATTTTATTTTCAGAGGAAATGCTATATTGTTTTCATAAATCACAGAGTTTGGTGTGCTGCTTATGTTTTTCTAACACGCGTCAACTGTGAGCTAGTAAAATAACAACTGTTCATCCACACACTCCCTAAAACCACTGTACACATCATCAGTCACACACACGCCAGCCTGCGGGAAACGCTGCAGCACCTTAGCGAATGCTCACATGTTTCTGGAAAGAGAGGTTGTAGATGAGAACGCAGAGGCTCAAAGGTGGAGCCTATGACCCTCCCCCCAAACCTGGAGACGGTCCCCCACTGGAGCGGGTACTCTCAAAGGGCCCTGCTCTGCCAGGAAGAGAAGAATCTGTGACCCTAAAAATATAGAAGGATCCTGGCAGAGTTCCAGTAAGGTCTCAAGATCCCTAAGGGACTTCAGCCTGAAGTCCCCCAGGTGGAAAGGCTGAGAGCTGAATCCAGTCTGACTAAATGCCTAGGCTCTTTCAACACGAATGCTTTCCAAATGCATTTTTTTTTTTAAATCCGAAAGATCCTTTAAAAATGAAAATGTGTGTGGAAATGCAATATGTAAAAGGGATCAAATTGGAGCTTTTTAAATGTAAATGGGGTTATCGAGTCAAGAGCTTCTTTTTTGGGAACTTCTAGTTGCCCGAACCCATCCTGCAATGGCCCTTAAAAACCCATCTGAGAAGCCCGGGACTCTGGGGAATGCTGTTTTAAACCCACAGTGCACCAGCCTGTCCCATGACTCCATTTAGTCTGACTTTCCCTGTGAGCCAGACACCTGAGGGGCAACTTCTGGGTCTGTGTTATCTTTTCTGGCTAGATATCTCTACCTTGGATCTTTGCCATGTCGAGATCTTGAAATCTTCCTCTGGCGTTGTAAGCCTTACTCTGACCTCATTATTCATTCGCTGTCCACTGACGTCTACCCTGTGCCGAGATTTTCAGAGGACACAGGAGGACTAGATGTCGTGCCCGCGAGGGGTTCCAAACCCACCGTGGGAGGCAGACACACGCAGACGTAGCCGAGCACAAGGAGTGTTTGGACAGCTCCTGCTCACCGAGCCTCGCCGTTTCCCCAGTTCTGGCCCTCACAGGCGCCTGGTTGCGCCCTGAGATGGGGCCAGGCACGGGACCCCGGTGGTTCTGGCTGCCCTTCATGTTGGGATGCCAGAGGTCTTGTCCATCCTCCCCACCGTGGTTCCTGGGTCACTGTTCCTTTCAGCAACTAACGTCCAATATAAGTCTGGAGTCAGACTCCCAAATCCTCACTCCAACAGGAACCAACTTACAACTGCACCAGCATCTGTAAAATGGAACTCCGCCTGGCTTCTGGCCTCAGTCTGCTCTCTGCCCTCATGGTGGAGTCTATGACCCTCCCCCCAAACCTAGGGACCATCTCCCACTGACATGGGTATCCCCAAAGAGCCCTTCTCTGCCAGGAAGAGAAGAATCTGTCACTCCAAAACGACAGAAAAATCCCAGCAGAGAGTTCCAGTGAGTCTGAAAGATTCCTAAAGGCCATTCATCTTTCTGGCTCCCCCGACCAAGCCAAGATCACCATGCTGTTCCCTCGGTCCTGGCTATGGCCCTGGTCCTCTCCGAGATGCTCCCACCTTCAGAAAGCCCCAGATGTCCCCAGAACATCACTCTTTGGGTCTCTCCGGTGCTTTGGGACCAGATCTAAGTGAAGCTTGAGTTCCAGGAAGCTTCTCCTTGGTAGGCCCGAGAGTTGGGTCCATTAGCAAATTCAAAACGACTCAAATCAATTCAAGCCAAGTCAAGTCAACCCAAGTCCACTCGACTCAACATATACTTCCTGGGCATCTCCTTGTCTGCTCCGTAGTGCCCTGAGCCAAGCTCTAGCTTCTGAAGGGATAGAATCTAACAGATAACAAAACACAATCTTTACTCTCATGGAGGTTTCTGTTTTGACCTTAGATTCCAGACTCACACTTTTCCTTGAGCTGAGGAACTCTTCACGTAAGGAGCTGGAGAAAGTTCATCCAGCAGCCTAATTCCTGCGGTCCACTGCCCAGGCCGTCTCATGCTTCCCTCCTGGGGTTGTCTCTCTTCAGGACTTCAGACTGCAGTCAGTTTGTCTCTCACCCTTTAGGATCTGCTTCAGTTCATATGAGTCCCGAGTCATTCATTCATTCACTCATTCATTCATTCATTCACAAACCTGCACTGAGACACCTTATAGAAATCATCGCATTTAATTTTCACGGCAGTCAGTATGAATGCAGAACCAGTACGTGGCCAGCTAGAGTTTAACCCAGCCCTAATTCCAAAAGCCCGGGATCTTTCCATCTCATTCTACCTTTTCTTAGGCCAATTCGATAAAATCCATAATAAAAGATAGAGATCACCAAATGCTTAAACAAACATCCTATGCGGAGGGGAATAATAGATGATTGAATATTTTATATAAGGCGAAATCCCACCTGAACAGTTTATTAGAATTCTTTGAGAAGTGAACTATATAGGGAGATGAAGGGTGGCTTTCACAAAGAACCTTTGTCAAGTTGCTATCCTGAAGCCTATTAATAAAATTGATTCATTATAGAGTTGGGCAGAGGTGGGTGGGAAGTGGGAGGGAGTCTATTTTTACATAGATAGAGAACTGGCTTAGAGACAGGAAAGAGAGGGTGGAAATAAATGGGTGCTTTTTCACATGGGGAACTAGGGTTCCCCAGGAATGGGTCCTGAGTTTTGTCTTATGTAACACCCGGTGCACATGCATCGAGCGCCCAGTGCGTGCAGGTCCTGCGTTCAGCATGGGGGATACCCGAACCAGCCAGACTCAGCCCCCCTTCTCCAGGAGCCCAAGGAAAGAAGTAAATGCTCAGTGACGTCTCCAAGTTTTCAGAGGACAAGAGGCTCCTCAGTTGGTGGAAATGGCAGGACATTGGGGGATAAGACCGTGGTTGAGGCAAGAAAAAAAGAGCCTCAGGCAGTGATCAAAAGCTCGCAGCTCTGGGATCAGCGGTGTCACTGACTGGCTGTGTCACACGGGCTGAGCCCTTTCCTCCTCTGGGTCTCGGTGTTCCCTCCTGCACAACGAACGGACTTGCCTAGGTGACCCGTAAGGGTGCGGCGCTCTGTGTGGAGGACGGTGACTTGAAAGAGGACCTGGTTATGAGAAAAGCCTCGTTTCCTGTGGCCAGAAAGTCCCCGTCTGTCGCTGCGCTGCGATGGGGGGCCATCCCCTCTCTCCTTGCGAACAGGGAGGATGAGGCAGAGCCACGAGGTCTGTGGGGCTCGGAGCCCAGCCTGGAATCCCTCGGTGGCATTCGCTACGGGTGACTCAGCGTCATAAATAGCTCCCATCTGGATGAGCAATGATATCTATAGCGATCAAGCGATCTCTATATCCACACACTCTCTCTCTGTGCAAATATGTGGCTCACTGTATGCTAAATACGAGGTGGCCTGGAGACGGCCCTCCTCTTAAAAGACTATTTGGTACGAAACTCAAGACTGTTTATTTAAAGAAACAAGTTTACAACTCCGCACGTTGGATTACTGGTCGTGGGTGGTAGGGAAGAGGCGATGTAGATGCAGGGCCGCTGGCTGTGATCCGAGCCTGCGGGCCACCTGGAGGAGGGGCTGAGGCTGCCTGCTCCACCTTCGTCCTTCTGTCTGCAGCAGGAGGGGGTGATGGACACCACACACAAGATACTTGAGATCCTGGCGTGGGGGGTGTGGGGGGTGCTGAGCCACAGGTCAGCAGAAAGAGCGTAGGACCCAAGAGTGACAGGAGAGGCCGGGGTCCAGTCCCGCTCTGCCCCACCGTTGATCGCGGATGCTGCCTTAGTTCACGCATTCATTCGTCAAACACGTACCAAGCACCTGCAAGGTGCATCCACTTGGGGATACAGACAAGAACAAGTGGAGCTGAATTCAGGCTCAGCCACCTACCAGCCATATGTCTTTATGCAGGTCCTTTCCCCCGTCTGAACTTCAGCTTCCTCATTTGTGAACTGGGGATAATAATATCCCAGTAAAGTTGTTTTTTAGCGGGGAACATCACTGAATAAGATAACACACGGGAAGCGCTTCTCTGTCGTAAACAGCTCTAAAAATGCACGCTCACCCCGTTCCAACACATTGTCTAATCGATCCATCTCATTCCCGCGTAAGAGTGTTCTTGGCGATCGTGGAGAGAAAATGTCTTCACGACCCCTCACCAGGAGTCGGGGGGTATGAACACCGCCACAGGGTGACCCTGGGGGTTCCCTTACCTTTGCTTCCTGGCCGAGCTGGGGTGCGGGGGCCTTCAGTCAATGAGCAGAGTGGAGAGCATACCAGAGACGCACAGCTTCCTGGAGGAGAAGAGAGTGTTGGGGGTGAGGGGAGAGAGTGGGGGGAGCTGGCTCCCTGAACGGGCACCGAACCCCAGGCCCCACCGAGGGCATGCCCTCACCGCTCCCGAGGCCGGCACTGATGCTGTGGGTCCCAGCAAGGGGGTGGCAGCAGCTGCCCGCCTTGCTCACGGGGTCAGGCACCGCTCGTGCCGCACCGCTGACCACGCTGCTTTCTGGCGTGAATGTGTCTGATGGGGACGACGGACGGGACTTACTGTGAGTCCCGTCAGGGTTGGGACTCCGGCTTGGGGGAAGTCGTTACAGCTCTCTGAGCCTCAGTGTCCTTGTGTGTAAAATAGGCCTGCCAGTAGCCCCGACCTCATCCGTGAGGTGGCATCTAAGTGCTTGTTGTCATTATCACTGGTGGCGCTGAATCAGGTGGTGTCCGCGAAACTGTCTACTGTGTCGGATCCCCTCGAACTTCAGTTGTCGTCCTCTGCTTTCTGTGGGAGGCACCGGCCTTCCTGGAAAGGCGAGGGTCGGGTCTTACGTGCCTGTTGCCGTAGCCTTGGCCACCGGGGCCTGACACTAAGCTGGCACCCAGGACTGTTTGTTGACAGAGCGATGCCTGAGAATGAGCCGTCACGTCGTCGTCGGGATTAGTGAGGTCCACGTCGCACCCCCATTGCGTGGAGGAGAACACAGGGCGGGAATGATCTGTTTGGTTTCTCACGGGGTGGGCGGGGATCCGGATCAGAACCCCCAGTCCTCGCCCGCCCCGCCCTGCCACATCAGAGCCTCTCTCGGCTGGGTGCCGAGGCCTGAGAAGTGTGGGCTTGGGGGCCAGCGCGCAGCCTGGGGCCTCCTGCCTGGCCGTTTCCTCCCCCGTCCACTCTGTGGTCCTGCTCCTCGTGACGGAAGGAAGCGAAGGTTCTTATCTCGGTCACAGAGGTCGGGGCTGAGGATTTGGCCCGGAGATGCTTCTGCGAAGTGGGGTTCTAACAGAGGAGCCAACGCGAAGTCCTTCATGTTGTCATAGCTTCCTGGGCCACCCCGGGTCACCCAGCACCAACCCCTGGGTCTCAGCTGCTCCCTGGCACCCTGACTTCCTAAGATCATCCCCTCCGCCCCATCCCACTGCTAAAACGCGAGCTCGGCGAGGCAAGGCCCTGGCACTCAGCAGGGCTTGACAGACATAGAGCGAATGAATGAATGAGTAAACGAGTGGCTGACCGACCGTGCCAGGCCATGTTCCAAACGCTGGTGCCACCGCAGTGCAAAGGGCAGGCACGCTCCCGCCCTCGGGGAGCCGACCATGTCTGAATTCAAAACCAGCAGCTGGATTGGCGATAGGGCGGATGTTCCTGCTTTCTGACTGGCTAAGTGGGGAACCGAGGAGGGAGTTTACATGGGCAGAGCCTGCTGACTGCCCAGGGAGGGGGCAGCTCGGAGCAAATGGACTCAGGCAGGGTCATCTGTGCCCTGGGTCGGGAGGCTGACCTTTAAGAAGGCAAGGCAAGGAAGGCGGGTGGCGCCATTAAGTGTTTAACGTCTACCTCCGGCCGAGTCCCAAACGGCTAGCACATTGCCTGGCACGCAGCGGGTGCCGACCGCATTTTGTTCAATGAACGCAGGGCGGTAAGAGCGGGCGTCAGGATGACTCAGGTCTGGAGGCTCGTGGGAATCGGGAGTGTTAACGATCAGAATTATTACACTCGAACGGGGCCGTGCTGTTCATAGAGCAGCTCGCATTCCTCCCGGTGAGTGCAGTCGGCGCACGTTTATTGCCGAGCGCTCAATGCTGGGTGCTAGTGGCGTTCACGTAAACAACGGGCCACCGGCGGCCCTTTCTGCGTATCTGCCCTTCACACGCACAGTCTCTAATACTCCCCATAGCCTGGCGAGGCCAAGGGCACAGTTCTCATCTCAGAGAAGAGAGCGCGGAGGCTCAGAGCAGTCTTGATCTTGCACAGCTGGAACCCGGTCTTACTCTAGAGTGAGCTGTAAAAAGCTCACAGCCTCGTGGGGACACAGACGGGAGAGCGGACAGCGGGCATGCAGGGTGGCGTCCACGTGGACGCGGGTATGTCAGAGGTGCCACACCGCCAGGAGGCAGCGGGGAGGGCTTCCCTGGGAAGGTGCTTCTGGGGAGCTCAGAGGGCCGTGGGGCTGGAAGGGCTCCCCAGGCAGAAGACACAGCATCTGCAGGGGCGTGGAGGAAGCGTGGGGGACGTGGTTGGGCCGGAGCCTTGGGCAGAAAGGTGGAAGTTGCTGGGGCCGGTTATGGGGCTTTGTGTTCTAGGGAACTCCTGGGGACAGGGCAGGGCAGGTGCAGGTGGCAGGACTTGTGCTGGCTGAGCTGCGGGGTAGAGGAGAGTCAGACTCAGCCTCGAGGCTTGGAGGGTTCCTGGAGAGTGGAGATGGCCACGGTGGCAGGTCCTGGTCTCTGCCCCAGCCCTGGCTCTAGCCAAGGCCTCCTCTGCCACCTGACTGCTCCCAAACCGTGTCCTAGCAACCTCGCAGCCCTCACCTTGGCAACGCCAGCTTTTGTACTCTCGTGCTCTGATTGGCCTGCAGGGGAAGGTGGAGCTGGGATGCCTCCTGTCCAGTAGACCTGCCCAGGGAACCGGCCCTGCCCCCCGGGTCCCCTGAATGCTGACGGAGGAGGCTGGCCAGCCAGACGAGGGAGGTGTGTCGACACTGGCCAGGACTCTGAACTGGGAGACCGGCAAGCTGGGTCTGGCTCTCCGTCTGAGTGATCTTGGACGAGTCTTTTCCCCTCCTGGGGCCTCAGTTTTCCCTCCCGTAAGTGAGGAGGCTGGACGACTCCATCTCTGGAATCCCATATTCCCTCATTCCCTCCTGACCTTCCTGGCTGGGTGCTCTGATGCTGGCATGGATGTTAGCAGCAGACTCCAGGGGCTTCATTCCTCATTGGCCCGGACAGGTCCCTTCACCTCTCTGAACCTAGATTTTTTCCCTCCGTAAAATGAATAGATCTCAGGCCATCTCACCCAAAGCGTTATGAGAGTCAGTCGAAATGGTCTAAAAGGAAGTGCTTTATAAACGGTGAAGAGCTACACAGACGTCACCTATTCTCACATGGTTTATCGAAGCCCCTCCTGTAATCACCCCCACCAGCAGCAGTGAGCATTTATTGAACGCTTACTGTGTGCCAAGCATTGTGCCGAGGGCTTCACTCATACTATCTCGCTGCATCTTGCTGTCATTCCCATTTTCCAGATGAACGCATCGAGGACCCGTGTGGTTACATATAGAAGCAGCTCACGTAGGCTCCTTGGATTCACGACTCAACCGTTGAAAATCGAACCAGGCGGCCATCTCAGCATCTCTTCTCCCATCTTGGGTTTTGCCTCTTGCTTGAAGTCAGGCTCTAACTCAGGGTTCGGTGGGTGGAGAGGCGGCGCTGTCATTTACTGAGTGTCCGTCCTCTGTGTGCCAAGAACTGACCGGCGTCTCAGCCTGCATGCGCATGCCCACCCCAGGATTAAAGCATAGATTCCGGTTCAAGGGGTCCGGGGTACCGCTGACATCCTGCGTTTCTAATAAGCTCCAGGAGGTGCTGATGTTGCTGGCCTGCGGACCACACTTTGAGTAGCTAGAGGACTTTGAGTATCATCTTGTAGAATCCTGGAGACCTGGTCTTATTTGCCCTGGAGTCACCGATGGGGAAACCGAGGCTGGAGGGGACATGCACCTTACTCAGGGCCGCACAGCATACTAGGGGTAGAGTTGAACCTGGTCCCACTTGACATCGACCGCAGGCCGAGCACCACCTCCTGGCCGTGTGGTGCTTCTGTCTCCACAGCTGATGTGGGCAGTGGACGCTGAGGCCCCTATAGGAACTGTTCCTTACTTTTGGTTTGTCCCGAGTGACCAGCTCCAGTGCTGGCTGCCAGTGGGACCGGCGCCCTCGCTCGGAAGCGTCCCTGCCGTTGGGGGACCATCTCAGGGTCGAGATGAGATGCCGTGCAGGTGTGACTCACCCCCTTTGTCTCAGCCTCACCTTGGTCCTTTTGGAATCCTGTCTTTATTTGAAAAGTTTGATATTTTTTTCATCATGGATTTTTTTTTCGCATTAACTTTTTTTTAAATCGCACCAAATGTTTACTTTGACGGCTGAGTTTTTAGCATCTCCTACGTTTTGCACCTGAGGCAGGTGCCTCTCTCCCTTGCCTCACCCCAGCAGCAGCTGGCCCTGTGTCTTCTCTCTTCCCTGCCTGCCTAAGGGTGTGAGGATGCTGCCGGCCGTGCGTGCGGTGCCCCCCGGCAGCCAGCCAGCCAGCGGATTTACTTCCCAGCGGGGGACACCTCTCTGTGCTTGTCCTTTGGCTGACCTTCTCTAGAGGTGGCGGTAGGGACTTGCGGGCCCGAAGTGGGGTCCAGGGGATCGCTCCGACCTGGGCCTTGCCCATCGGGCCCCTTGCCAGTGGGGTGACTGAGGGAAGTGACTCCATCTCAGTTTAGATGGTGACACCCTCTGCTTCGCCCAGCCGTCAAGGCCTCCCCCTCTCCGGCCCCTTCGGCCCCTCTGCCCTTGTCTCTACCACCTTCACCCTCCCTCACGTCGTCTCTGTTCTGAGACCCTGTTATGCTTCCTCCTACCCCAGGACCTCTGCACTTGCTGCCCGGACACTTGTCCCGTGGCCAGCTGCTGCTTCCGGTCCAGATGTCAACTTTCCTGCCGCTTTCTTCACGTCTCCCTTGCCTGCTTTACGTAAACAGCCCCTGGTCTCCTCCGTACACACCCCTCTTTTATTTCTTTCCTAGCACTTACATAACTTGATGAAATTGTTTGTTTACTCGCGGTTTTCTGTCTCCCCACTAGAACGTGAGCTCAGCGAGAACGCAGACCGTGTCTTACCTGTCAGCGTCTCTCCAGCTCCTAAAACAGTCACTGGCCCATCAGAGGTGCTCAATGAGTTTTAAGGGATCAGTGAGCCATACCGGGGGCTTCAGTTTGCACATTTGTAAAGTGGGACGACCGCCCTAACCCC